ATAGACATATATATACATACATATACATATTTATATATATATTGGAGTAAGCCTGGGAGTATAAACACTCCCCAGAAACAAGATGAAAATCGTGGCTTCGGCCCTGGCCAAGCAGCCGGCCGAACCCCCGGCAAACTAGGCGGCAACATGCCGGTCAAGTTAGCAAAAATGCGAAACAAAAAGAGCAGCAAACCGAGTAGAAATGTTGCCTCAAAAGGTACAACCTGGCACCACCATAAATTATTGATCATTATTTGCTTCCAAGTTGGGATGCGCCTAGCATTACTTCAATAGTTCACTGCCGGACACCAGGTGCATACCGGGTTTTCATTATCGCTTTTAGCGCCTGCCAAGCTGACGGTTAAAGGTCTCCAGCGTCCAGCGCCGCGCATTGGACTGGACAAGTTGGTTGCGTGGACCTTAATTTCACAGCAAAGCTGCTCAACCAGCCGCCGCCCCTCAGGCAAGCAGTGCTGAGCTGACAATTCAGCTGAAAACCGTTTTGGAAAAAGAACGCTTAAGTTGTGACTAGTTGTGACGGGTCTTGCGTTGGAGACGGCGGGGGCTTGGCAGAAACCTGGGAATAAGAACTTGACGCAAACCTGACGGCTTCCTGCTAACCTTGCAGAAGCCCGAGGCTGGCAGAAACCCGCCGGGAACCTACCAAAACCCGGCGGAACACCGGAAACCTGGCGGCGGCGGAAAAAAAGTAAGTTGAAAGGGGGGTGGTTGGGAGTATAAACCATGGCAAAAGTTATCCTCCACGCCAGGTTCCGCCAGGTGTTCCGCCGGGTTCCGCCGAGCTACGCCGGGTTCCGCCGGGCTCCTCTGCCGGGTTCCGCCGGGTTCCGCCGGGTTCCTATGCCGGGTTCCTCTGCCGGGTTCCGCCGGGTTCCGCTGGGTTCCGCCGCTCCGCCGGGTTCCGCTGGGTTCCGCTAGGTTCCGCTGGGTTCCGCTGGGTTCCGCTGGGTTCCGCTGGGTTCCGCTGGGTTCCGCTGGGTTCCGCTGGGTTCCAGGCTTTCGCCAGGTCAGTTCCGCCGGGTTGTGCCGGGTTTCCGCCAACAAGGTTCCTCCTGCCGACTCGCCCTTCAATTTATTGCTAAGATTGTGCCAGGTTCTTGCCAGGCGTCTGCCAAGGTTGCGGCAATCAATTAAGCGTTTTTTGCAATTGCCCGGGCATTGCCCAAGTCAGTTTGTGGAAAGAATCACTGCTTCGGATGCTCTGCCATACGACCTGCCGGCACAAATGCCATGGCTTTTCGTTCCTACAGAGTTAACCACAGGTTCTGCCGCTAAGTTTGCCGGCCACAAAACCAAAGAAATCGGGTTTCTTGAGTTGTGCCGGCCCTTCTGCCGGTGGTTTTACCATCCCTTTGGCCACAGTTTTGGGTCAGTTTGGCCCAAAAAGTAATTATGAGTGTTTATACTACCTCGCTGCTTTCAATATGTATACGTATATATATATATATATATCAAAATGTAATATAATAATATATTCAAACATATTGGATATTCTTGGATCATGTGCTGTTCATCTTCACAAGGCCCGCTTCAGTAAGAAAGGTCGCCATCATCTGCGTTTGTTTCTTGTCGCATGGGGCTGGGCAACACAAACACATGCCCCATCCAGGCTGATCTGCCCTGGAATCCCATCGTCAGACACTAAGTTACTAGGTCCATTGCCTCTGAAGTATCTGTTTCCTCGTCCAACAGCAAGAAGGCGGCTGCGGCACGCCTGGCTTTGCATAGCGCCAGGCTCTTGAAGCATTCTTGATATTTCTTGATGCTGTCTTCTTCCTGATTGGAGCCTGATTTCATGATGACAAGGGTATCTTGTTACAATGATCCCTTTGGGTTGATTTGTTAATGACCTGTCCAATAACAGTCCCATCAAGAGTCCCCTTTTCACGCCCAGTCCTTTTGCGAGAAAGATACAACAGTCGCAAAACGATTGTGCTGCTTCAAGGCAGTTGGTCCTACAAGGGATCATCCCTTTGCTTCAGCCTGTTGCTAGGGAAGTACAACCTGGACATTTTAGTGATTGCCCTCCACAACAAGTCTCCCTCAAAGCTGCAAAACCAGCCCACAGGAACCCATCAGCTCAAGTTTCACTACCAATGACTACGCTTCAAAAAGGGACAACGGGACTCTATAGGTGCCCCACGCATAGGCAACAAAGTTGATTTGTATTACCCAGGTATTGTCTCTCTCTTTTTTTGGCTGTAGCGGTCTACGCATGCATGCACAGCAGGGTATACGACTAAGCATACTGCAACTAGCATGCAAAATGAGTAGCCGGCAGCAAAGGTCTGAAACCTGTGCCCCAGCTTCGCAACCACAGCGAATCCCCTGAGCAATCTCCTTACACCAGACGCTTCAGAGGACTAGCAATCATCATAGGGTTGAGGTACAAACGTCTTTCGGATAGGGTGCCATTCAATCCTGCGGGCCGCCATTTCGCAACCATTTCTTGCTATATTTGAAGGACATTTAGAAAACCATTGATGTGCCTGAAGCGACACGCGACAACATGATAAATGTGAATGTGTATGACACACCCGGGACTTGTGTTGTTTCACGCATTCACATCGTGGAAATTCGCGGAATAGTGTAAAGTACTTGGAGGTGTGGGAAGAGTAAGACCCTGGAAATCGAAAATACACACTTGCTAAATGACACAGAGCTTTGCCAGAGAAAGTGCTTGATACAGTTCTGCAAGGTTACATAAGCTACATACCGGGTTCCGGGTACCTCCACAGAACTCTAACAAGATTACAGGCTGATTACAAGATGCTGCTGTACACATGCTGTACCTTTACAGCGAGCCTCCGACGAAATGCTGAGGAATCCAGAGGCAAAGGCCGTGGAGGCCTCAAAGCACGGCGGCACAGATATGCAGAAGCACCTGGAACATGGAAAACTAATGTAGTGAAGTGCCAATGTGCTATGCGGATCTGTATACTGTGGATGTAGAAGCTAACTAGTACGTGAACCAAGGTGGAAAACACTGAAAACGACCCCTGAAACACGGTGCCACAGGGATCTGGGCATGTCCGGCGGCTCCATCTCTGGAGTGTTGTCTGGACCCGTGAACCACTACGGGCTGCAAACATCGCAAAAACAAAAGTGAAAGCAACTCGTGAAAGCAACTCGTTCATGACCCAAAGGAAGCTGAGCCAGGGTGCCCAACGGGGTGACGCGCCCAGATCCTGTAGCGCCCTCCCGCCTTTTTTTTCCGCGGTTCAAACAATCAGTTTGAAGGGCCGGGGCCCCAGTTCTTCGGCAGGGGCTGGTGAGACAGGTGCCAAACCTTGCCACACAACAGGAAGAAACGCCACTTCAGGCAGCAAATCACCACATACATACATTTACCATCGTTTACAATCATGTCCATGGGTTCGATAATGTTACACTTGTGGGTTTAAGTTAGAGACTGAGTCTCTTATTTCATACTGTTTCCAGCGCTCTATTGTTTGCTAATTTTGCATTGGGTTTGTCTACGTTTGGAGAAACTTCTGGAGAATGTCCGGATATGATCCCTTGCATCGCACGGACACAGGTTTGCTCCGCTGTTTCAAGAAAACAAGAATCAAAGCAATGCTGGGGAGTTGGCAAGAGGTGGCCATTTCAATGTGTGACCAAAGTTCCACTCAATGTATTTGTTCGAGGCGCTTTCTTCTTTCTGTGATCAACAGTTTGAGGAAGTGAGCGCTTGCTTGGTGGGGGGGAAAAAATGCCAGGAGCTCAAAGCTTGACTCCCTGAAGTGGTTTTTACTGGTGGTTTGGGGGGTCTTGTTCAGCAGGTATTCGCTGAAATTGAAATTGATTTTAACTTTCTCCTGTCAGCAAAAATGATTCATCTGTCCATCAGTTCCCACAAGGTGGTGCCCCATAGTTAGCTAAGTTGGTTTATAACTCCAATAACTTGGGTTTATGGTAGATATACCTATACTTAATGGGGGTTATAAACCAACTTACAACTGGGGGGGCACCACCTTGCAAAATGGACTTGACACTGTTCATACTGCATGCAGCGACGGGATGATCCTGTTGCAAGGCATCTGCTGCACTGCCAGAGAATTCTAGTTGGCTCTGATCCTTCACTGAGCATCCTGGACAAGTGCCTGTCTTTGAAATTCTGTGAGCCATTTGCAAAGGTTCTTTCATGATTTGTCTGCTTGGAAACTGTTCGAACGATATCATCGCCAAACCCAAATTCGCAGGCATGGATGGCAGAATGGCAGAATGCCACGCGAGCAGTGCATTAACTAAGTTTCATAATCGTTGTAACCCTTGTGCCTGGCAACCCCACAGCACCTCTGATGAGCGCCCGCCAGGGGTGGGTTGTTCAAGCCGTGCTTAACTTTGGCTAATCTCTGATGCATGCTATAGGAATGATAAAATATGACCATGTTTGGATCTGAAAACAACCCACGGAACAAGGCCTGTCGTGCCGTAGCTGGGATCAACGTGCCAACGTTTGTCAACCGTTGGCATCTCAGCATGGCGACCTTGGTGCAAACGACAGGCTGCCAATACACGCGGTGAAAACTGTCTCTGGGCATCTCCGAAACCTCTTTGTGTCTCTCCAAGTAATGGTCCTACTGTACTTTCATTATCCACCAAGCTATGCGGGTCGACCAACCCATATCCAAATGTGAAACAGCTTGACAGGAAGTTTGATACGGACATAAACTAAAGCTAAAAAGGACAGAAGAGAAATGTCTGTTGGTTTGTCTGCACTCCCTGTAGAACCCTTCACACAGCGCTGGATCCTTGGGTATTTTCTGGCGAACAGCGGCACTTTGGCAGAGTCATATCTTAAAACACACGCGACTTTGCTAACCAGCACGTTTCACTGTTTTGAACTCGACAAACCTGGCAACGGTTTTAAACGGCGGAGGATTTTGGGTCAAACCTATCTGCAGAAAGGAAAGAAAGAACCTTTGAAAGAAACCTTCGGGCAATTCAGTTAGCCTTATGATCGGCGTATATGCCCA